CAGTATTTCTTATCAAGTGGTTGATAAGTGTAAACTATTTCTCAGTATATTGGAAGTTATCTACACAGATGTTAAGCTGAAACAAGAACTTGGATGCATTCCCAGTGAATACACCAGTATCGACGTAGTGAGTCAGAAGTTTTAAAAACTTTATTGGTTAAAGCTTGATTTGAAAAAGGTAAGCATTCTTGCTGTTATTCGTTTTTGTTTTGAACATTTCCCAACCCAATAAAAATAACATCCTGAAAAATACAGCTGTGTTTTCGTTAGTGTTAAATACATAAGAGTAAATTTATTCTACTTCAGTATATCTTATTGTACAACCCTTTAGTTTATACTCAACACATCTTTTGGATTTATTTGATTTTTAGGGTATTGTTTTAACTATCCTCAACACTCACATGTTATGTTTGATTACTGAATTTTAGTCTTTTATCACATTTTAGTTCATATAGTCAGATGAATTTTCATAATAATTTTATTATTATATTTCTAATATAATATTAGATAAATTATCAGTTTAAATAGTTAAACAATTATGTAGTTGTATTCTTTAAGAATTAATCTCATAAAAGAGCCCCCCCCCCCAGTGGCACAGCGGTATATCTGTGGACTTACAACGCTAGAAATCGGGTTTCGATACCCGTGGAGAGCAGAACACAGATAGCCCATTGTGTAGCTTTGTGCTTAACTTCAAACAAACAAACTCATAAAACAAGCTATCTGAGTGTATTTTGTGTCACCAAACGGGTATGTTATTTGAACCTTTTAGTTAAAATTTTAAATAAATATCAATACAAATTAAATATGTGACGATTGGTCGTGTTACACGAACACATAAATCTAAAGACGAAGAAAGAAAGACTAGGAAAAAGTTGCCCCCCAGTGGCATAGCGATATGTCTGCGGACTTACAACGCTAGAAACCGTGTTTCGATACCCTATCTGGGCAGAGCACAGACAGCCCATTATGTAGCTTTGTGCTTAACTTCAAACAAACTAGGAAAAAGTTACTGTTGATTTGCAAAATATGTAATAAGCGTATATGAAAAATTATGGATGAATTTATAGAGGTAAGTGAAATATGTTACTGTTTTGTAAATAGTAATTCAACAGAAATTTCACTCTATACATGAAGTAATTCAAAGTTCTGATGATCAAATCGTTAAGTATGTATCATAACAACAACGAAGATCCGACAAAATATCAGAATGGACGATATACGTAAAAAAGTCTTGAACGAGGTCATATAATTTTTTCTTGGTTTTACATATTCAAATATGTTACTTTCAAAATTGGATTATTAATTTCTTCTGGCCAATCATTGACTTTTGTTTTGAATAACGTTAGCTGAAAGCCTAATTTGAAGTACTATTAATGGATAAAAAAGACGAGTCCGTCAAACTGTACTCACAGTTATAAAGTTCATATTTTATTGTTTTTCTTTTTCATGACAAATTGTTTTAAAACAGATTCGAACGAAAATGAATATTTCATTAACAAGTTTATGCCAAAAGTAATGTATCTCTATCAATAACGTACTAGGAATTTCCACTAGATTATCATATTTTATCGTTGGTTATTTAACCCTACAAATTTAAAGAGTAAATTTCAAGCCTTTCCTCAGCGTAAAGAACAAACTAAGTATTTTCTTAGCTTCATATTGGTACAATATCAGCACGTGAAGCAAGAATTTTACGCAGATATACAACGAATGTTTATTCTTCACTTAGTACGGTTGATTTTCATGTAATTTAATAAAATTATTTTATGTTATCTTGTAACCTAATAACAGCAGTTCTCTTTCTTTATCACGCTACATATGACATTAAAATAACCTAGGGGTGTGGCGATACAACGATACGATACGAGTATCGTACCGTGAAGCCGTGATACGATTGTATCGATACATCGTTCGATAAGATTTATATATCTTCACGAAATTTGGCAAGCTTTCAGTAAACACTGTAAGCCTTTTGTACAGAAAAAATCACAATTTCTAATAAACTATTTTTGCCAAAAATTAATGTTTTAGTATATGGAGTCACTGCTCCGAATGTAAAGCGATTTTCATGTTAAAATTAAAAATACTCCGTCTACAAATTAACAAATTTCTTTTGTGTAATCTCTAAAACCTCCGAAATAAATTGCAAACTTTTTCGACAAGTCCTCATATTTTATCTGCTATATTCACTACTCTAATTTTACGTGAAGTCGGTCAGTTTGACCAGCTTCGTAACCACCATAAAAAAATACAAAATATATCAAAATTATCCTTTTTTTCTTTCTAGAATTATTTCAAATTGTAGCAGGGAACTACATTTCTTTACACTAAATAACTTAAAGCTCTTAACATTATACATCTTTTTTTAATTAAATTTTATTGTCAAGACTGTCAAACTTTGGTAAAACTTCTATATCTAGATACGTATCGTATCGCTGCATCAATATATAGGTACGTGTCGTATCAACTATATCGTATCCGCCGTAGAATAAACTATGCCATTCATAACAATAGTCAATGTTGATTCATTCAAGACAAGGGACGTGTAACTTAACCTAAACTTACATTTGGACACTGCTTATTCGTCAGTGAATAACTTAATATTAACATCAATGTATAGCTAATTGCACGTTCATAAAGATATCGTGGTGCTAGTGGTCGGTCTAAACATTTGTGTTAAGATACTAGACTTTCTTTTCTTCTTCAGTGATTAAAAAAGTTAGGTTTGGAAAAAAGTATGCCCTAGAATAAATTGGCCGGAAGTCCAATTACTACAGCTTTATAATATTTCTAGATCTTCATTTCATATCTGTCTTTTTTTCTTTCCTGTAGGCCTTTTAAGGAACAGAACTGATATATTCCTGAGTATTTACGGCACATTTCTATATTAATTTTGTTACTGTGGAATTGCTCTTTGCAAAACAAATGAAATTTCACCTTGTCGCATGTTCCATCCATTGGTAGACAAACAAATATCATGAGGGAAACTTCAATTAAAATTAGTGTTATTAGGTAAAGTATTACACTAAGCTCTCTACTTTTTTTCTTCTATTACTGATTGTTGAAGTGGATCAGATCCCGTGAATTATGAAAAAAGGGTTACACATTTTTAACCTTGGAGCATCGTTTCGACGATTCCAGCAAAGTAAGGAAACTTCTCAATACATATATGGCGAAGTGATTAATCCAAGTGACCCCCATGGTCGTCCTAGCTGTGTTCACCACGTCAAAAAACATCGTGGTCATCATAAAAAAGAACCTCCTTCTGTGCCTCATTTCTGTAACTCTCATAACAAAGAAACTCCTCCTCATTGCTCTAGAGACATTAACCAATCACTCGCACATACTTCTGCCGAAATGTCTTCTTCTCATACGAACGAAATAATTCAGCCTACTGTTGAAGAAAGACCACAAAAAATAATGAAGCCTCTTCCTCCTCTACCTAAACGTCAACATACACCTGTCATTAATAACGGTATTGTGTCACCAGAAATGAGCTGCGGAGACAGTGTGCCCCCATCTTCTGCTACGTTTGAAGGTCACGTAAGGCCAGGATATAAGAAAGAACCAATTGAAAACATCGTTAAACAAAGTGAAAAGGAAAGCATTAAGGACGAAGAGAAACGCAAAACAGAAGCTGACGGAAAAAATCATGAGGATTTACCAAAGTAAGTTTTCTGTAACGATTATTTGAAATGTATATATATTTAAGTTCTGTATAGCCTAACATCAATAGTTCCTTGATGTTATTCACAAATTTTACATTAAAAACTAACTGTTCTTTTATAAAACCAATTAACACGTTTGATCATGTTATAAACTGCTAAATAGACGTCACTTATTGTCAGTTGAGTTGTTGGTCGTGTTATATATATATATGAATAAACTCGGTGGCCATGAATTATTTGAAAATGACTTAAATTGATTTGTTTTACATTCATGCTGTATCAATACTGTATATCCAACATTTCACACCAGAGCTCAAATTAGCGTGCAGTTCATCACATACTGTGTAATTTTAATAAGTTGATGTGTAGTTCTAACTGACCTATTACACAGCTTAGAAATGGTAATTTCTGTAATCCTTATGATAAATACTGTAAGTTAAAATTTTGTTTGGCTGGGAAGAACATAATATATTCGCAGGCCTTCTACGGTGACACATGGATGTGGATCGGTGTTCGGTCGTGTTGTGCGCCACCTGGAGGATCAGATGCGATCTAGACCTCTTCCTCCTTGAAACATGTTAGTTGTGGGCGGAGCTTCTCAATTTAAATACTGTTCGGTAGAATTCTTGGAACCAATCACAACGCGTGATATTGAGAACAGAACGTCGTACAGTCATGTTAGCATAACGCAGCTTTAGCTTGTATCGAGCTTTGCTATTGTATAATACACGTCTCAGAATTAAAATTAGCCGAGAATGCAATTCTGAGAAATCATTAGTATAGATTCTAGATAAAACAACATTCTCGTTCTTCCTCAAGAAGTATCTAAGATTACCTTTTATCGTCGGTGCGATGAATGTAAGTGTCAAATTTTCTTGAAAATAAGAAGTGCAAAAACGAAAGTATCAGAATAGTTTTGGAGATATGCGATTAATCAGTTCGATTCTATCAACCTTAAATTCTAAATATTTTAGATCGTACTAAAACCTACTCAGAACAGTTCTATAAGTCACAGGAAATAAACGTTTGTAACTCAAACGATTCAAATCTGGTTATAGTTCCAGTAAAAACCATTATAAGAAAAATAAATAAATATTATATGTAGAAATGACCATATGAAGAGTTAGAACAAGTTATTGTGTGGAAACAGATACCTGATTATAATTTTTGGGCTCTCGAGAAGTAAAAAGTTATCATACCTACAACTCCAGTAAACATACGAACTCGAGGAGCTGAAGGAAATAAATGAGCACTCCAGTCTCAATGGTTTTAAAAGCTAAGCAATGAAATTGAAAAAAGAACTGTTACATACGATAAATGAAATGAAATTATGTCTTTGGTAAGAATGTCACGACCAACTGGTGTGTACATTCCTAGTGAAACACTGATATCCCGTTTTCTTCAATACCTTAACCATATACCTCAAAATAAAGCAGAGACTATCGATTTCAGGTATGAATATATTTCTGTATTTTTTTCTTATATACAAGTGTATAGTTTACAATAGCTTTTTATCGAATATTTCTAAATAATTATTATGTAGATATAATAATGTTTTTTTTACTTTGTGATATAACGTGATAAACGTAACAAGTTCAGCATATAATCCACATACTGTATTGTTGAATTTGAACTTAAGAAACATGAGCCTGAATTATCTCCAAAATGCTATACCTGTCATACTACGATAGATATACTGTAATCAGGCATTTCGTTTTACTACATTTTAGTGACTACTGAAAAACAAAAACAAGTTGTTATATTTGAACGATAGTATATGTGCTTCAAAGATAAATGTTTGAACTTGATTAAAAGCACAATTAATTAATTTTTATCAAACTTTAACAGCTTTTCTCAAACATACCAGCACAAACGTTTTACCTGATGTATGAAGTCTTCTTAGAAAGTAAACTAGATTTAGGAGTTTCACTTATCAAATAAACTTTAAAATGTTATAAAAACAGAAAATAGAGCAGAGTGGAAGGAATTAATACTTCTAATTTATAAAATATAAACAAAAAAAAAGAACGATTGTTGTATATTTGAATTCCATTGCTACTGAATTCATTGTAACAGCTACAGTAAACTGTTAGTTTAGTGGTTTTAATGCATGTTGGAGTTGAGTTCTAAACTGCTACTTAGATATAAAAACTTAAGAATTATACATTCCGTTACCTTTTCTTAATTGATATCATGTGACGTTTGAAACCACCCTTTCTTCGGACAGCTGCTCAAAACGTAACCTGGTACTATTATACAAACTAACTAGAAACTAAACTTAGCCTAGCGTTTTATGTTTTTACTGTGGTTTGGGTAGATTTAAGTTCTACTGACTGGTGATATTTGATATAAGTTTGCCTCTGTCGCTGAACATGTCGTAAGTCCTTCCCCAAAACTCTTCTGTACGCTTAAAATACCTGTTACTCTGGTGATATTAATGTTTCCCTGTTGTTGCTTTTATATGTGTTTAATAAACTCCTGATAAACCAACTTACTGCTGATTTAGTGTGCTTTATAATGTGTCGCCAAAGTTTCTTTTCTTTAAAATCACAAAAAAAGCTCTTAGCATAGAAATTAAGTAGGTGGGATACACCAACTTTCAATTGTTCTACGGTTCTTAAGTATTAAACTAATTAAACTATTATTAAATCTATTATAAGTGGCCTAAGATAAAAACAATAGATAATGGTGATATTGTCCAGTTATTCATTTCTGATATTTAGTTAAGACTTACTGACTCATACAAATACTCTTTGAGTTCACATACCCGGTAACAGAATGGTGTTTAGAATCTCAATGTACGAGTTGGTTGACCGATCGCTGAAGCACAACCACTCGGGCATGCGCCCTCTAAAGAAGCTTAATGTTTATCTAGAAAGTTGGAATTCTTTTTAAGTATGCATTTAGAAAAAAAATCAGCGACGAATTAACTAACCAAGGAGACTCGCCTCTTATTGTATTCAGCTCATGTGTGTCCTTCATTTCCTGTTTTAGTCTTTATTTATAAGGGAAGATTTCTTTCATTTTCACGTTAGTGTCAAACAACAATAAAAAATGATATTGCCATCATATTACCATAAAGAATAAGGTGCAGTCCTTTTGCCCCTTATTGTGTGTGGACATAGGGTATGAGAAGATTACACTTTATTTGATGTCTGGCCCCATATTGACTTGGTTGATAGCTGTTTCTAAATATGAATTTTCTCCTCCAATAAGATTAAACATTCTCAAGTGTTTTCGTAACCGAAAGCATTTTCGGCTTTAAAATACTTTTATGATTAATTGAACAAAAACATTATTTGGTATCCCTCCTCTAAACATCATGTAGTTTATCTCTCTTCGTAGAGGTTAAAAGATGTTTTATCTCGTAAGTATGTAGATTAGGATAAAACCTTTGTATAGTTATTGACGCCAAGTGCAATATTCAAGTTAGAAAACACTATTCAGTGAGATAAATATTAAAATAAATTTTATCATAGTTTTTTTTCAAAGAAAAGATTGCCAACTGTTTTAGAATGCACTTTTGAAGTTGGTTTGAGAAATTAGCTTTTATTTGACCTTCTACAAATGCAAAGGTGGGAAGTCTTCGAGTCTTTCAATTTGTATCTTGTACATGAAAGGAGCTAAAAATATAAACGCAGGGACTAATATGCCGTAGTTACAAACTTTAGAAAATTAAACTTTTATATACATTTCAAATACTGACGTAGGTTTGTCTCTGCCGCCACTAATACAGAAAATATGATATTGTGTTTTACTTTATTTTGTTGTTGTTGGGACTTTTCTTATGGCCTTGGCAAACTATTTTGAGAGAAATATGCATCACCCATACTAATTACATCAATTAAAAAGTGCAATTAATCAAGTAACATATTTTCATATACTCTTTTTATGTATGGCAACAGTATCACGACTTTATATTAGCAGTAACAACACTGAAGTAAATAAGGAGTAATAATGTTACCACCAAATTACTGACCATTTTTTATACCTTTCAATATCGATGGTGTTCACTGTTTACATATTGCATGATATTGAATAATTTTATTTATTTATTTATTTAATATGGTTGTGAAAAATCTCGGAGCAAATAATTGACCACAAATTGGGCGAACTGATTCATTTTGCAAATAAAAGAAAAAAGGGAGTCTATAAAAATGACTCGCGCAGTATATAGATATTATCCTGAAAAAAAAAAAACCAACTAAAAAGAAAATACAGTTTAATGTAGGAAATCATAGTATGCCACGTATGAAGCAATACTCTCAATATGTTAGCAAATCATTTGTAAACGAGTATGTGTATAGGATAACGTTTACGTTGCTGTTTTATGCAGAGATGCGTGTGACGTCATAGTCCCCGATGAAAGGTTTTTTAAATGCTAGTCTTGGTAAGTAGTTAAGATATGCATGCCCGGTCTATCAGTTAATATTACTTATTTGTAAATACTTAAAGCTACTTTTGTCATGCTTATAAACGGATGATTTTCAAACAGCATGCAAAAGTAATTATTTTTTTTTACTTTTTTATCTAATGTTTTGCTTAGTATGACTAAAGATATCCAGTAAAAGGTTAGTTTGGGGGTGGTGAGCTTAGTATTGTTATTTTTTCTGGTGTAGCAAATTTTGTCGAAAAGGAAACCAAAGCCTGAACAAGTATGTAATAAGTGTTGAAGATTAGGACAAAAACAACAAGGAATTAGTAGTCTGACATAATTAGTATATTCCAACACCGATGAACTGAGTATTATCATAATTTATCTTAAATTATATCATTATATCAAATCAAGTTCACAATTGTAATACCGTGCATACATTTTTATTAATGTGAAATTAAAACCTTTGAATTCTTCCAGGAAACAAAAGATTATGCACATATTTATCTGCTTGATAAGATGGAATGGAAAAATGCTTAACAGAATAACAATCAGATGGTGTGAAAGCAAAGAATATTATTGTTCGGAATAAAGACGAATACTAATTATAAACATATGTTTAAATTGAAGATGATTTAGTTCGTTTGTTTGTTTTGAATTTCACGCAAAGCTACACGAGGGCTATCTGCGCTAGCAGTCCCTAATTTTGCAGTGTAAGACTAGAGGGAAGGCAGCTAGTCATCACCACCCACCGCCAATTCTTGGGCTACTCTTTTACCAACGAATAGTGGAATTGACCGTCACATTATAACGCCCCCACGGCTGAAAGGGCGAGCATGTTTGGTGGGACGGGGATTCGAACTCGCGACTCACAGATTGCGGGTCGAGTGCCCTAACCACCTGGCCATGCCGGGCCTGATGATTTAGATGTACTTGGTTTGTGATAAAAGCTTTTGTGTTGAGGTTTGACTTTCTTACAGTATTTAGATAAATTACTAAGTTTGATAAACATACCTAGAAATACGAAATATTTTATTATCCTTGATGATATACGTAATGTTTTCAGTTATCCTGCTACAAATATTATAGGAAATCTGATGATCTGCGGATATTACATCACGCATTTATATTATAGCTTTGTTTTGAATTTTATGTAAGATTGATGGATAAGATTAGTGTATATTTGGATTATTGAAACTGGTATATATTGTAAATAGGCATATATTAGTATTCTTCACAATGCATTACATCTGTGCATACATCTGTACACATGCATATACAGAGGGCTGAGCACGTTATGTTAAAACGATTTTGAGTATGCAAATTAACAAGTCACAGTGGAACGTTATATATCCGAACTATATTTTGATATTGTCTGGCTAATCACAGGTATCGTAATACACAAAAAATCGTCGCTTTTGGGAATGGTATGTAATAGCCCTTTCCGACGCAAAATAATCACATACTTAAATCACAAAGATGTGTTCAGATTAGGGATTTCAAATTTCCAAAACGTGCAAATTCCTTACACTAAATAGTATTGAAAAACAAAGGAATTGGAACAACTTGGGGAATTGAATCATCAAGAAAGGAGCCTGTAACAAGTACCCCCAGCCGTGGTAACCAAAGTGCGGCATCTTTTAATAGGTGAGAATCCATGAACACAAATGTCAATGGCCAAAAGCTATCCATGTATCCCAGCCGATAGTACTCAACAGAAGTCCCATGTACACAACCATGTTCAACGATCCCATACCTCAAACAGCTGGTATTCGTGTTATTCCATATGAAGACATACCAATCAAGCCACCTGACTGGATATTTGTATGATAGGACTGTTTTAACAAGCGCTGGGGCATCGTCGCTCTTATGTATATTAGATAGATTATGGAAAGCCTGTAGGGATCATTGATGTGCTTTGGACATGAAAGAATTACACCTGCGCCTTTTGCAATGGAAACTACGCTGTAGGACTATTATCAAGACACAAGATCGTTAGATAGGATATGGCCGGACGTGGCGATATACTGTCACGACGTTTTGAGGTTCCAAAATCACTTTCATACAACTTACTCAATCTCTGTAGTTAGCTGATAAATGTTTGGACAGCTCTAGCGAAATAAAAATCCGTTGCTTAAAAATATAATCAAGGTATATTATTATTTTGAAATGATAACTGCACAATCATTATATTTTATATTTTCTTTAATTACCATTATATAAATGATTATATTATCACAGTGCTTTTGCTCTTGAGGATTCGCCACTCTAATGGCTTTTCAAATATCAGCAAACTATTAAATTATTTCATTTCTGTGTATATGTGCGACTTTTAAAAACATTTCAATTAAACACTTACTTATACAAGACAATGATAAAATAGTTTGATTATTTAACCGAAGTATTTTAATTAATAAATACTTTATTTCAATTTTATACACATGTATTATTGAAGTCTCATTTTACTTTTAATATCAAAACAAGCTATGTATGTTTTTTATCCTGTAAATGAAACTAACAGTAAACTTTTGTGTTGACAGAAATCAGCAGTTCGTTATACTCAGTTCCATTTATGCACAGCTGTTGATTGTCATTTGTATTGCGTTCTTCACGGCTGAAGTCGTCACATCCGAAGTATCGCTCTTTTACTTTGAGGTAGGTTCCTACTAATCAGATGGAATACATAGTAATAGCTTCAATATAAACGTACTTTGGTATAATGTACATTAGCTTTTAATAGTACACATCACATATTATGTGACCTTAGTCACCATACAATCCAATGTTGCGTAAATTGTTCTTTCGTATACTAAACTTTGGATCTCAATTTATGCAGCAGTAACTATTATACGGTTAATCTTAGTCACCACAGAAACAAATATTGTTCATACATATTTTATTTACCGAGCTTTCAATCATGATTCTATATTATCAAGTTTTGCGAACACCAACATCGCCTGTGACATGGTCTTGATTGAAATTTCTGTTGATGTGTTTATACAGCGAGATCTTCAAGACACAATTACTTTGTATTTATCTGCATAGACAGTAAATTGTTTCTCAAATGTCACTTATATATATGTAAAAATAAATATATAGTAGTTTAGCCGTGACACAAATATATATAATATACTTTTCGGTATTATACTAGACTATTATTTTAATTTTTTTTCATTATTTCATGTTGTTTAAAATTTCCAGAGTTATAAATCCTGCTTTTCAGGGAACAAGAAAAACAAAATCAAGTCCCAACAAATGGGTGTTGGAATAGAAATTAGTTAATACACGAAAATTTTATATAAAAAAATATAATGATTCTCCGTACGTAAAATCGTATAAAATCTGTTCATCAATATATTTTATGATGGCCATATGTTTATTACTGTATTTAACCTTCGCTTTTACTCTCAATATTGTTTTAAATTGTTACAGTTTTTATGTAGACTTTCAACCATGGAAGTAAAAGTTAAAGTACGTTTTAAGGTTATTCTGAATTGCCAAAGTATAGTTATATAACTGTTTGGAAAGGATATTGGATGGAGTTAACATGCATGTTTTGTTTTAAGATATACTAATTTTCCCCGATTGTTATCTATGAAACTAAATATGAGAAATACATACGAAATGTTATGAGATTTCGCTCTTTGGAGAGCATTACTTTCAATGTCATCGTTATTTTGCTAGAATAATTCCTATTGAGGCTGTGCAAAGTAACGAAAGTACTCTACACGTATCAAAAGATTTCCAAAAAGTAATAACCACACGACTAATTTTCAGCATATAAAGGATATCTGTTATATTAGTTGTGTATAACATAGATTTAATGAAATATTATTTCTAACTGTAACGATCAAAACGGTTTCTTGAATCGCTCATTTTGATTTAACCTAACGTATTCATGCTATTTTATATTTGTTATCTGTGAAGGATGTTCTAGTTATATCTTCATTAAAGGATTTCTCTATCATTTACTCGACTAGCTTTATGTAGTTCTAAGTCTGAGAATGTTAATTTAAATAGTGTTCATATGTGAAATATCTTTACAGTTTAATTAACAAGTAAAGTACCACTCTATGCTCGATATATTTCCTACCATTATTGCATCCCTTAATATTAGTTGTTTGTTATCATTACTTATGTCAAATCCTACAATAAGACCTTTCTGGTGAGACATCACTGAAGTACGATTAATTGATATTGTATAAATTTATATAT